TTCCAAACCTCAGGTTTCAGGACTCAATGCATTTGCAATGCAATTGCCCGAAATCTATTGCACCACTTCATTTTAGCCGAGCCCCCATCTTGGGTCATCCAAATGGCTTCACCTGCGAGGAACGAAGGAGTTGATATCTGTTCCTCGGTGGAAGGTCTGCGGAAGGCGGCGGAAGCAGAAAGAGGCCGCCTCCGCCGGCGGAAGCCGGCAGAAGCTCGGCGGAGCCTGGCGGAAGTAGAAATCGAGTTCCCGCGAGATGGCAAGGTTTGTTGCTTCAGGTTTTCTGAACCCGCCACATCTGTTCCACTGCGGAATTCAAGCGAGGCGGCCTCGAGTTGACGCGCGTGCGTGCCTGTGAAAGTCGAGAGGTCTGGGGGGCCCACTCAGAGAATGACAAGCCACTTCCCCGACAGGTGCACTTGGCGTTCGATCATCCACCTCCTGGTCAACGCAGACATCTCTGCGTACAGTAGGTTTGTGCAGTGTCGACGCAGCGACGACCCTGGCGCGGGCGATCAAGGTGCAGCGCCACCAGTGTCCCCGGATCGGCCAATATTGAACGTTCTCGCGAGCGAAACGGCGCCGAACTTTGTAAGGCTGAAAGATCCACACGGCCTCTGAAACCGACTCACCGAAGTCAGCACGACGCGAACCCGCCGCAGAAGGCCGCCAGAGAGACCGTCGAAGCCCGGCAGTGGGGCAAGAGGCTTGGCCCACGGCCGAGCGTGCCCGGGCGCGGGCGGAGATGCCGGTATATCTCTCGACTGCACGTGAGAGTGACCCTTCGCCGGAGTGGCCTGTGGTGCGGGCCGAACACGATGCGATAGGAGCTTTTTGCAGCACGGTTGTGTTTGATCCCCCCGCGGCACCCCAAAAGCTGCGCACCAAAGGTCACTCTTACCCGAGGTCACTCTTGCGTGTAGCTGAATCTCGAAGATACAAAAACCATAAACATAAACTTTTGGCGCTCCGCGCGGATCTGGCCCCCCCCCCCCGGCGGCGACTCCGGCGCCGCTCCTGGGGCGCTCCGCGCGCCAGGGAGGGGGGTCCAGCGCAGATCCAAGAAATCTGTGCGGAGCGCCAGCAGTTGATTATGCTTATGGCGTCTTTCTTTCTTCTACTATTGCCCCATCGTTGTTGGGATACCAGGGTCGGCATTCTGACGGAGTTCTCAGGGGCGCCGTTAGGGGAGGATCGGCGGAGGGAGGAAGAGGGGGAGGAGGAGGAGGAGGAGGAGGAGGAGGAGGAGGAGGAGGAGGAGGAGGAGGAGGAGGAGGAGGAGGAGGAGGAGGAGGAGGAGGAGGAGGAGGAGGAGGAGGAGGAGGGGGGGGAGATCGATCGCATCGATCCCCCATTTGCCCACGGATCGCAGAGAGAGGGTCCGATGGCCCACCCCCGATTGCCTGGATCCGCTACGGAGGGGCCTCTCGCCGAGCTGCCGGCGATGCGATGCATCGGCGGTTCCAGGCCGATGTTCCCCCCCCCCTCCCCCCCCTCTGGGCCAGTCTCCCCCCAACGTTCCCCCTCAAGCTCGGGCGGGGGGCCCCCCCTCACGTGCGGGCACAAAGAAGATACACCGCCACCACGTCGATGCTCCTCCTCCCTTCTCTACCCTCCTCTTCTTCTCTCCCTCTTTCCTGGGAGGGGGAGGGGGTGAGGTAGGTGGTGGTGGTGGTGTACATGTTTGGGCCCCGTACGGATGGGGCCAGAGACCCTCGGGCTCCCCGCCCTCGCTCGTACGAGCGCCGCCCACGTCGAGCATGCGATCAAGCGCAAGCGTCGATCGGCAAATTTCTCGACTCGCCCCCTCCTCCTCCTCCCTCCTCCTCCTCCTCCTCTTCCTCCTCCCCTCCCCCTTCCCCTCCTCCTCCTCCTCCTTCTCCTCCTCCTCCTCCTCCTCCTTCTCATCCGCCTCCTCCTCTTCCTCCTCTTCCTCCCCCTTCGACGGCGCCTTGCTGAAGGCGCTCTGCTGCCTGTATCGTGCACCACGGCGGGCGCGCTGGACAGGGGGCACGAGCAGAGTCAGTCACCCGAATGGTACGATCGTGGCTGGATGCAGTGCGGCTACGGGAGTGGCGAAGCTGATGACTCTGTGCCTCCTCAAGCGCCTGGCTGAGGAAACGCCTCCGTGTCGGGCTCTGAATGTGGTCGATGATTTGACGACGCATATCATCGGAGGCCCCAGGACGGTGGTGGAGAACACGGTCAAGAGTTTCGAGATCGTCACCGCCGAGCTGGATTCGAGGAAGTTGCCGATCAATTGGGACAAGACTAGATTCATGATGTCCGATCAATCTCAGCTGCCTGCATTGAGACAGGACCCCAGGTGGAAGCTATCGGACGACAAGCTGGTCATCGCCCACCGTGACCTCGGCGGCGACTCGCTGGACGGCAGGGCGAGGCGGGTCGGCACGCAGACATCGAGATGTGATGCTGCCCGCAGCACCGCACGCGCCCTTCGTCAACTGGGGCAAAGTGAAAAGCACAGTAGAGTTTTTCGTGTGGGTGCGCTGGCTAAAGCTGCGTGGGGGTCCCACATTTTGGGGATCCCGCCGACCACCCTCCATAAGCTCAGGGTCCAAGCTGCGAGATCCTGGGGCCCTCTTCTTCCTGGCACCTCCCTGGGCTTCAGGTTTCTTTCGGCTGCCCGCCTCTGGCTCAGGGACCCGCTTTTGGTGGCTGTGTCGTCGGCTGTAAAGGAATTCGTCAGTGTTTGGTGGGCCCGCTCGGTTTCGAAACCAGTGTTTGAGGCTTGTGTCCAGGATGCCATTGCGGTCCAGGGGAGCAGGGCCCCCTGGGGCCAAGTCCGCCAGCCTGTTGCTGCGCTTTTCCTGCAGCTGGCTCGGATCCGCTGGAGTTTCGACCTGTCTCGAATGGCCCTGGTTGATGACCTCAACCGTGTGTGGTCTATTGATCGGTTTTCGCCCAAGTTTTTCACCCTTCTCCTGCGTGGCTCGGTCGTCAGGACTATAGAGCGGGAGGAGCAGTTGAAACAGTTTGATTTCGGGACCTGGAGCGGCCCAATCTTCTGGCAGCCAATTCATCAGCTCCTTGGGCGGAAGTGTTCAGAGTCGTGGACGAAGTCGCATAAGGCAGCCCTGTCAGCTCTGTGTGCGAATGTGTACTGGAGCCAGCACAGAGTGTGCGAGCACAGTCCTGAAGCCCCTGACCAATGCCAGCTTTGTGGAGATGGTAGGGGCACTTTGTACCATCGCAGGTTTCAGTGTGTGGCATTCGCTCCCTGGCGACGCGAGAACCTGGATCCCGTGGTGGAGAGGGCGGCTCGTGCGATTGGCCATCTCCCCACTTCGGCTGGAGAACTTTTTAGCAGAGGTCTCTTCCCCAACCCTGCGGCCTGGGTGGAGCGACCCCCCCGCGACCCGCAGGACCCGTGCACCAGGCACTTTCAGTGGCCTCAGGACGGCCCCCTTTTCATTCCGGAGGGGGCCCATGTGTTCACGGACGGGTCGGGTTTTGAAGGGGAGCTCACAGGACTCGGGACCGCGGGGTGGGCTGTTGTGGTGCTGGACAGGCTCGGGAGGACCCTTGCAGCCCTTTTTGGCGTAGTGCCGTTCGGGGAAGCGCCTGGACAACTTGCACGGGATGGCGAGGATTTTGCTGTTCTGATGCTCTCCCGCCGCTCGGTCCTCGCCTCAGGGGTCTCGCTTCATGTGGACTGTGCGGCCACGGTCGGCTGCCTCCGAAACCTCTCGGGGGCTGCTGGAGCGGCCTCGGCCCGAGCCCACTGGTGGGCGGAGATTGGGGACCGTTTAGAAGGCGTAGCGGTGCATCAGATCCCGTCTCACTCGTCAATGTTGGATGTCAGGGACGGCCGTATCACGGAGATGCAGCGTTTCGGGAACTCGGAGGCGGACAGACTCGCCAAGGAAGGAGCTGAACCATTCCGAGTTGCGCGCGAGGACCGCCTGTTTGTGTCAGGATATGCTGAGTTCGTCCGACGAGTTGGGCTGTACAGTGCCAGGCAGCAGGTAGAATGCAGAGACTTAGCCCTGAACGACCATCAAGGGCTGGAATGGCTCAGCTACGTCCTCCTGGACGCGGTCCCTGGCCTCCCCCTTCCTGGTTCGGACCCTGGGGAGGGTGAGCCAAGTGCGGAGTGCGAGGTGCCTCTGGGTGCGCCAGGTGCGGGGGAGGTCCCTGGCGTCACCCCTGGTGCGAACTCTGGTGAGCCGCCTCCTGAGAACCCCCCGACCCCAGGAGCTTGGCTCCAGCTGGGACACTCCCTTGAACAGGGCGTGGTTTATGAGTCGGATGGCTGCACGTATCACGATACTATGCTGTGCTGCACGGCGTGTGGTGCTATGGCACATTCCAGCACGAAACGGGGGAATCTTCGGTTGAGGTGTCGTCCTGTCGCGTCGTGGGGACGGGGGTTCTACCTTGACCGATTTCGTGCTGGACGGTATCCTGCCCATCGGAATCCTCGAGGGCTCACGATGGCGTACACGGGGGCCCCCTCTCCTGAGGTTCGCTCGGAGTGGAGGCCCTACTTCGAGGCCTGGTCCCTGGGCCGCGACCGCCCGCCGAGAGTTGCTCGGGGGGCCCAGCCCTCGCGCGGCGGGGGTCCCGCCGCAGACCGTGTGCGAGGACTCGCACTGCTCGGCCTGTCGAGGGCGGAAGTCGTGGAGCTAGGGGCCGAGGTCGAGGCCAGGCGCTGCAGAGGTGAACTCCCCGTGGAGGAGGAGGACCTCTTCGGCTGCCTTGGCCCCTCCTAACTCGTTTGTTTTTGTTGCATGTGAATTGGGTCACTCCCTTCGTGGTCGTGGGCGTCCTCTTCCTCCTCCTCCTCCTCCTCCTCCTCCTCCTCATCTTCCTTCTCCTCTTCCTCCTCCTCCTCCTCCCCCTTGTCATCCTCCCCCTTCTCCTCCCCCTCCCCCTCCCCCTCCTCCTCACCCCCCCCCCTGCCCCTCCTCCCCCTCCCACTCCCCGTCCCCGAAGCGGCTCCGGCTCGAGCGAGGGCTGGCGCGGGCTTGCCTGCCATGCGCGCCAGCGACCCGCCGGCAGGGCGTCCGCGGCGACCTCCCTTCTACGGCACGGGGCAGGCGGGGGACGGCCGCGAGGCGGACGCTTTCGCGCACGTGCTCCGGGCGGCTCCCGCGGGAGACCCCGAGGCGGTGGTGAGGGCGTTCGAGGACTTCCACGCCGCCCAGAGGCCCCTGTACCACATCGGCCCCGAGAAAGGCATGTGGCTGGACCGCGCGGTGCTCGCGAAGGCACCCGCGATGGCGCTGGAGGTGGGAGCCTACCTGGGCTACTCCGCGGTGCGCATTGCCCGGCTGCTTCCCTGCGGCGCCCGCCTGCACAGCGTCGAGGAGAGCACCGAGAACGCGAGGCTGGCAGAGGAGGTTGTGGCGCATGCGGGCCTCTCGGGCCGCGTCGTCGTGCTCCGAGGCACGGTCTTGGACCTGCGCTCGGCCTTGGAGCCCTGCGGGAGGTTTGACTTCGTCTTCCTGGACCACAAGAAGTCGCTGTACCTCGAGGAGCTGCAGCGGCTGCAGTCGTGGGGCCTGATTGGGCCCGGCACCGTCGTCGCGGCCGACAACATCGGGGGTTGCCCCAGGGTAGATTGCCGGAGGGTGAACTGCGGCTGCGCCTACGTCAGACACTTGCGGGCTGCCCAGGGCATCCACACTGAGAACTTCTGGGGGCTGCGAGACGGCCTCGAGGTGTCCAGCATCCAGGACCACATCGAAGCCGAGTCGCTGGCAAAGGAACGCACCGAGGCCAGCTGCGCCCAGCTGGAGAGTGGTGCGCCCCGGAAGTGCCAAGGGCCACCCGGCCCGCGCGGCGCGGGTGCTGGCGCTGCCGCGTACGAGTGCTGGCAGGGCATCGGCCTGCCGGTCGTCTGTGGCGCCCCCCTCCGCCTGGGGAGCCCGCCGCCCTGCGCGGCGCCGGCAGGCACGCGCCAGGCTTGATGGGCCCATTTCCCACCACCACTACCGGAGAGGGAGGAGGAGGAGGAGGAGGAGGAGGAGGAGGAGGAGGAGGAGGAGGAGGAGGAAAAGGAGGGAGGAAGGAGGAGAGGAGGAGGAGGAGGAGAGGAGGAGGAGGAGGGGGAGGGGGAGGAGGAGGAGGAGGAGGAGGAGGAGGAGGAGGAGGAGGAGGAGGGGGAGGAGGAGGAGGAGGAGGAGGAGGAGGAGGAGGAGGAGGAGGAGGAGGAGGAGGAGGAGGGAGGAGGGGAGGAGGAGGAGGAGGAGGAGGAGGAGGAGGAGGAGGAGGACGAAAAAGAACAATAACAATAATAATAATAAGCATAATAATAATCATAAGAAGCATAAGAAGAATAATAAGAATAATAATAATAATAATAAGAATAGTAATAATAATAATCAAACGAATCATAATAATGAGAAGAAGAATGATAATAATACTAAGCAGAAGAAGAAGAGGAGGAGGAGGAGGGCCTCCTCATCCTCCCTTCCCCCACGTCCTACATATACGGTAGTGGCGGTGGAGAATTTGCCCATCGAGGACCTGCCGACCAGCCCCGCGGCGCCGGAGCCCGCGGCCGCCCGCTGCCCGGGCGGGGCCCCGCGGGAACCCGAGAACGAGGCGGCGGCGGCCGCGGCCAGGGCCGCCTTCTGCGGCGTCTTCGCGGCGCCTGCCGTGGCTCCCGCCCCGGCGCCGCGGCGCGAGGAGCTCGCCGCCGTGCCGGGGGCCTTCCTCGTGCGCGGCGCCCTCTCCGAGGCGGAGGCCGCCGGCATGGCCGAGGCCGTGCGCCTGGCGCACGGCGGGCGCGCGCCGAGGGCGCCGGCGGAGCAGCGGCGCGGCTCGCAGCACCACCGCGCCGTGCACGTGCCGGCGGCGGCCCTGGCGCCTCTGTGCGAGCTCGGCGGTTCCCAGGATGGGGCCCTGCGGGAGGGGGCCCTCGGCAGGGGAACGAAGAAGAGCGACATCATCATCAAAGCTCCGAGGTCCGCGCGGATTTCGCGGATCGGCGCTTGACCCCCCTCCCTGGCGACCGGAGCGCGCCAGGGGCGGCGCCGGAGGCGCCGCCAGGGGGGTCCTGCATGGATCCGAGAAGTCTGCGCGGACCTCCGAGTTGTTATGCTTATGCCTGTCTTCGCTCCCCTAAAACAGCGGCCTCCAAGGATGGGGCCTCGCGGGGTGGGGCCCTCGGGACGAGCGGCCGCGAGACTGCGTGTGGCGCCGAACGGCCGCTGCGAGGGCCCCCCCCCACTCTCCCGGGTCCGGGTTACTGGCAACGATCGTGCGCGGGTGGGGTGGGGGGAGCCTGGACCCCCCCCAGACATGCTGGCGCTCGCTCGCATACTGCACATGGCCGATCACCGCGCACCCGCGCCCCGACGTGTGCCCCATCCCGCCCAATCGTTGCAATTAACTACCTCGGCCCCCCCCCCCCACTTCGTGGGTAACGAGCGTTACCAGGAATGATAAACCCAGACATGATCGCGACGTAAGGAAATCAGGACGGGAGGTTTTTGGTCATTTTCGGCCTCGGGGGACCCTCGCCAGGCCTCAGGACCCTCAAAACACAACTCAGGATGAAAAACGGATCCCAGAAAACAGGTCGGGACTTCCAGGGGCCCCGTCCTGAAAAAATCAAGACGTCGCATGTCTAGGAAAGCAATATCCTGAGACAGTGACGGTTCAGCTTGGGAACCCTCTTCGCTCCCCATGGCAGGGTCCATACCGATCCGATCGATCCGAGTCAATATCGGTCTCGGCCATCTCGGCCCGATTCGCTTGCGATATTCCGACGATCCGATGCGGCTGACGCTTGAATGGCATTGTTGTGCGGCTTTGCGCTTCCGATCCGATTCGATCTCGTCTCCGTGCTGATGCACCCCGATCCCACGCGCACTCCGATTCCATCCGATTGCCCAAGTCGACGCTGGAGAGCCCCAGCTCTGAGGTCGAACACTTGCTTAATCTGACTACATCCCGCCTAGTCCCGGGCCTAGTCCTGCCTGATCCCGGGCTTCATACGGCCTCATCCGGCTCAATGGCCTCTCAGTTGGGCACCCTCGATTGTATTGCCCTTAGGGCCCCAGAGTTCTACCAAGAACCAATCGACACCACCCAAGCTACGACCCGCTGGGTCGTAGGCGGGTCTGAGGTGGGGTGGTGTCCCAAGTGGGTCGCAGGCTTGGACGGGCGTAGGTGAGCGAGCGCCTAAACTGTCAGCATCGCTGGGTCGTGTGTGGGGTAGTGTCGCTTCCCAAACGTGCGACTTCCTGATTTTTTTGAGGACGGGGTCCCTGGAAGTCCCGACCCTTTCCCTGGGACCGGTTTGTCATCCTGTGTCGTTTTTCGACGCTACCGAGGCCCAGCGGGGGCCCACCGAGGCCGAAACTTGCCAAAAACCTCCCGTACCCATTTTTGTTGGTCGACGCGATCATGTCTGGGTTGGCTTCTGGTCCACAGAGCTCGCAGGGCCCTCCTATCCTGGAGCCCGCCGACGAGCGGCTGCGGCCGCTGCTGCCCTCGGCGGCCGGGCCCAGCCGCGAGGGCGCGCGGGCCGCGCTCGCGCCGCCGGGCGCGGAGGTGGCCACGTTCCTGCGGTGCTCCTGGGGGGCAGCGTTGGGGATGGGAGGGCTCGGAGGGTGCTCCGGGGGGGGGGGTCTTTCCATCCCCGTCCCCAGCCCCAGACATGCTCGCGACGTAGAACCACTCGGGACGGACGGTTTTTTGACCGTCCCGGCCTCGGGAGGCCCTCGTGGGGCCTCGGGACCGCCAAAACACAACTCGGATGAAAAACCGGTCCCAGGGAACGGGTCGGGACTTCCAGGGACCCCGTCCTGAAAAAATCAGGACGTCGCATGTTTGGGTCCCCATGCCCATTCTCATCCCGAGCCCCACCATCCCACCACCCCAGTTAGGGATGTGCCCCTTGAAACCCGAAAAGGACAGCCTGCATCCGCACCTAGGGGGGTCAATGAGCCATGGGGGCCCAGGCCACGCCAGTGGGGAGATGGCTCTTTCGTAGAATCTTCGAAGCAACGTATATATTGTTCGCAGATATGCGACGCGTCGATGTCTTGTATGTAGGTCCGATGAAATTCAAATGCTCGTGTATCCATTTCTGTGGTCAACCTCCTGCAGCCAGGACGCTGAAATAAGGACCGCTCTGGGTTCGGGAGGGGCTCGCTGTTCCTCGGGCAAGTGTGTGGTTGTGCCTCTAGCTCTCCTTGTGCACCTGGACGCGTGTGGCCCCAAACAGGGGTGATGTTCCTCATCCAGCGCTCCTTGTTTCGGCAGCTCTTCTGTGCTCGAAGCGTTTTAGGGAGGGAAGTCGAACACCAAATCAAGAGATAATCGTAGACTGTGTGTGGTCAGTGCAGATTTCTTGGATCTGCGCTGAGACCCCCTGGCGCGCTCCGTGCGTCAGGGAGGAGGGTCCAGCTCAGATCCAAGAAATCCGCGAGGATCGTCAACAGTTTATGATTATACCGTGCGTTAGTCGGGCCGCATGAAACACTAGGATAGGGAAAGGGGGGATTACGACATCTGCTGCGTGCATCTGGTTTCCGCCTCGCTGCGGGGCCCACTCCTCGATACATGGGCGTCTCCCGGCGCCAGGAGGCCCCGGGAAAGCCAGGTGCGTGAGCTGACTCTCTCTCTTATCCTACCCTTTCGTCCGCCCCGAGTTAACCGTCGGTCGTCGAAAGTATGTACTTTCAGACTGCCAGGTCCCAATCTACTCCAAGAGCCTTCCGGCTTGAAGAACCGATCTGTTTTCGCTGTGTGCCGTACTTCTCTTGGAGGGCCCGAACCCAATCCATTTGATCCCTCTTCCTACATGCTTCATGATTTCACCCAAGGGGGGAAGGGCTCTCAGGGTGTGTGCTTCGGGGGCAGCACTTTGCTCGTCCGCGGGCGCGTTCGTCCCCCCGCTCGGCCGGGGGCCCCCTTTGGGGAGGGCAGGTGCGCGTGGCCCCAGCCTGGTCGCCCGAGCGCGCGTGTCGCAGCAGGGGGAGAGCCGGGGGCAGCCAAGATCGGGTCGGGCGAAAGGGGGGGATTGGGAAAGGGGGGGGTTCGAAATTTGCTGCATGCAGCTGGTCTCGGCCTCACCGAGGGGCCCATTCCTCGATACATGGCCGCCTCCGGCGCCGGGAGGCCGGGAAAATCAGCTACGTGAGCTGATTCTCAAACCCCCCCCTTTGCTATCCCCCCCTTTCGCCCGACCCGACAAGAGGGTGGCGATGACCACCCGTCGGTCGTTGAGAGTAGGTATTTCTTATGGCGCCAACATCGCAGAGCGGATTTCGCTCGGAGGACGATGGAATGGGCCCGGAGTGTCCCGGGGAATTTCGTTCTGGATTTCGAGGTAAATTTCGTGCGGATTTCTGTTGGTCAGGAATGAAGACTAAAACAAGTCCACGCGAAATTGATTTCGTGTTTCACTCGCCGTTTCGAGATTTTGCGTTGACAGGAATCCACGCACACATCGGTTGCAGCACGTCTGCAAGGTCGGTGCAATGATATTTTTGGATTCCCAGATCCCAATCTGCTTCATTCGCCTTTCTACTTCGAGAGCCGATCTGGTTCTGCTGTGTGTAGTTCTTCCCTGGGAGGGTCTGAGCCCAATCTACTTGATCCGCCTTCCCACTTCATGTGTTCACCTATTTCTTTCGACCGACGTGTAGGGGGGCGGGCGTCATGGCCAGCGCCATGAGATCTCCCACGATTCCATGGCGCCTCTCCTTAGTCATTGGCTGACGCCGCACCGGCGACCCCTTGGGACGGCAGTAAGAGTGAAAAACGGAATTTGCGGAACGATTTCTGGGGACTCTTGGGGTTTCAGTTTCTTGGGATTTCGTCGGGGGCGGTTGGCGGATCGCCGCTCTGCTCTTGGGCTTCTCGGGGCTCTCCTGGCAGCACTTTTGAGGCCTTTTGGGGGCCGTTTTGAGGCCTCTAGGCTCTAGGAGCCTCTTTTGGACCTCTCGGGAGCCTCGTGGGAGCCTCTTCGGGGCCGATTGGCGCTTCCTCATGTTTTTTCGGAGCCGAGTGCTCGAAATATTCATTCGGGTTCCCCTCTGGGCCTCCTCTTGGGGCCGTCCTGGGGCCCTCCTGGGTCGTTTTGGTAGCTTCTGGGGCCGTCTTGGGGCCCTCTTGGGCCGTCTCGGAGCCCTCTTGGGGACCTCTTGGGCTATCTTGGGTCGATCTTAAAGGCCTCTTGGGCCGTTGTGGGCCTCGTGGAAGCCCAAGACGCGAATGTGTTAAAACATACGTGTTCCCTGGGGAATGGGACGAGTTTTGCTTCTGGATGGCCTCTGGGGACGCCTCTTGGTGGCTTCTTGGAGCGTCTTGGGAGCTTCTGGGGCCGTCTGGAGGCGATCTTGGGCGTCTTGGAGCCATCTTTTGGCGACTCGTAGCCCACTTGGACCGTCCAGGGGGCCTTTTGGGGCCCTCTTGGCTAGTTTTGGGACCCCTTGAGGCTCCAAGGGTGCGGCTGACACCTTTGCCCCCCCTCTTTTTCAATACTTTTTCTGTTTCGCTCAAGATCCCCCTGTAGAAGGACATGCCCGACCTAATTCTTGCGTTGTCGTAGGATGCCGGTGATTTTCCAGCCCAGGGGGTGCCTTTTCCAGCGGTCGCGCCTCGCTCGGGGCGTTCCCGGGGGACGCCCAGAGCGCCGCGAACCGCCGCCGGAGGCTCGCGACAGGGCCTGAAGGCCGCCAGGGGGTGGGTTCATCGGGAGCGGCCAGAAGGGGGTATTTCATTGCGTCCCTGGCCCCCCCCTGGGCCGCGCACATTCCGCTGGCCATGATTTGCGCCCCCCCTCTTGGACGCCCCCCTCTCGGCCGCCCCCGAGTTCAGGGGGGGGCGCATCGGCCCCCAAATCGCCCAGATAGGGGCCGCCCGGGAGCGTGCGGTCTCGCCATCGGGGGCCGAGGTATCGCCGATCCATCGGCGATGCATCGTCGATGGCAGGTTGATCTTCGAAAACAGGAGCATGAGTACGAATGACACGCCGAAATTGGGAGCCCTTCAGCGTGTTACTCCCAAGCTGTTGCTCGGCAGCCTGGTGTTTCGTCGGGATGTAAGACGCCGATGGGTTCCCACGGCGGCGTGTCACTGACAACTGTTGCTTGTGCTCCCCGTCGTGTTTCAGGAGATGCAAAAACTCAGACACGATGAATCGTCGACTCCCAGAAAAATATGTGACAAGTCTAAACGCTTCGCGTATCCCCACCACCTTGCGACTTTTGGGTCCGCGTGCTTTCGGCAGGGCTTCGGTTCGCCCCCACCTGCGGGTTGACCCGTGGCCGCCTCTTTCTAAATTATCTGCAGGTGCACTCTGCGCGGTGTCGCGCCAATTATCTGTCGCTGTGCCCCAGCCTCGGTCATACCGCCCTCTGGACTTCTCCTTGCGGGCCGCGAATCAAAAACGTATCCCCACCAGCCCGTCCAGAAATGAGTCCCAGGGGAGTGGAGGTGATGAGGGAAGCGGGGGAGCATGCAGAAGAACAAAGGGCGGGGTAAGCCGCCATATGCGCCAAGAGGGGGATGATGTACGAGGAGTCGTCGTCGTCGGAGTAGGAGGAGGAAGAGCAGGAGCAGGAGGAGGAGCAGGAGGAGGAGGGGGAGGAGGAGGAGGAGATGGAGGAGGACCAGGGCGTGGAGGACGAGAAGGAGGATAAGGAGGAGGAGGAGGGGAGGAGAGGGAGGGGGAGGAGGGAGTAGGAAGAAATAGAGGAGGAGGAGGAGGAGGAGGAGGAGGAGGAGGAGGAGGAGGAGGAGGAGGAGGAGGAGGAGGGAGGAGGAGGAGGGGGAGGAGGACAATGGCGAGCTTGGGGGCCTCTTGGGCCGTCTTTGGGGCCTCTTGGCGATCCTGGGGGCCTCTTGCGTATCTCGGGGTGCCTCTTGGGGCCTCCTGGGGGTCTCTTGGGAGCCTCTTGGAGGCCTCTTGGGCGCCTATCGGGGCCTCTTGGGGCCCTCTTGGGGCGCTCTTGGGGCGCTCTTGGGAGCCTTCGGGGAACTCTTGGGGCCATGTTGGAGGAGATCTATCAAAGAATGGGGGGTCGTATATTAGCCCTGCCCCTCTAGAGTGCCTCGAATCGCTTCTTGGGCCCCTCGTGAGGCGATCTTGGAGCGCTCTTGGGGCCGTCTTGGGGCTCTCTTGGGCCTCTCTTGGGGCCCTCTTGGGCAATCTTGGAGCCATCTTGAGGCCATCGGAAGCGAAAAAGCGAGAAAGCCAAATATATTGATGTCCTTTCTAGGTTTTGGCATGATTGTGGCCTCTCGGGGAGCTCCGTGGGGAGCTCTTTGGCCACTTGGGGTCTTGGTGCGGTGTTTAGGCCTCTTGGAGCATCTTGGGATCCATCTTGAGGCATCTTGCGCTATCTTGAGCCATCTTGGAGGCTATCTTGGGCTCTCTTAGGCCCTCTTGGAGCCGTCTTGGGCCATCTTGGACGCCCCAACGACCCGCGGAACCCTCCGTCCAGGTCCAGGGGAGGGGGTAGGGGGAGGGGTAGTCGTCGACTCCCAGGAAAGTATGTGAAAATATGGGAAGTGGCGGGCAGATGGAAGCTTTGAACATATGAGACATATGGGGAATCCTGGGATTTGTGTCTATTTCTGTGTGTGTGTGGGTCCCTGGGCCCCTTTAGTGTTTCCCCCCCTTGAGCCTGTCCCCCCTGCCGTGCCCCAGCAGGTGCTACCGCTACCTGCCCGGCGACGCGAGCAGACCGCATTGGGACCGCTCCTTCGTGCACTGCGAGACGCCGAACGTGACCTCCGACTTCTCGGCCTACTCGCTCCTGCTGTACGTCGGCGACGCGTGCGAGGGGGGCGAGACGACGTTCTTCTCGGCAGAGCGTCCAGGGGGGGAAGGCGTAAGTCGGGCCTGTCCCTCTTCGGGAGGAATCGGAGGTGAGGGGGTGAGATCGAAGTGGAACGGAGAGCCCCCCTGCCGGGAAGTCGGTTTCGGTTTCGTGTTCGTGCGTGCCGTGCGTGCGGGCGAGGCGGAGCTGCGTGGGCGGGCGAGAAGTGTCCCGCCTCTGGCTGAGGCGCGGCCGGACCAAATGTTTCCTGTCCGGGGGCCGGTGGCGCGCGGTGTCCCGCCGGTGTCCCGTTGGTGTCCCGATGATAATGATGATGATGATGAAAATAATCATGATGATGATGATGATGATGATGATGATGATGATGATGATGATGGCCATGGTGGTGACGATGATGGTGTCCCGATGATGATGATGATGATGATGATGATGATGATGATGATGATGTTGATGTTGATGATGCTGATGCTGATGCTGCTGATGATGATGGTGTCCCGATGATGATGATGTTGATGATCATGATGATGTTGATGATGATGAGATGATGATGATGAAGATGATGATGATGGTGCCCCGATGATGATGATGATGATGATGATGATGATGATGATGATGCTGATGCTGATGATGATGATGAGGTTGATGATGATGTTGTTGATGATCCCGATGGTGATGATGATGGTGCCCCGATGATGATGATGATGTTTATGACGATGACGATGATGGTGTCCCGATGATGATGATGAGGATGATGGTGAAGTGATGATGATGATGATTGTGATGATTGTGATGATGGTGGCCCGGTGATGATGATGCGGGTGCTGATGATGATGATGATGATGTTGATGATGATGATGATGAAAAAGGTGTCTCGGTGATGATGATGGTGACGATGATGATGGTGTCCCGATGATGTTGATGATGGTGATGATGTTGCTGATGATGATGGTGTTCCGATGATGATGATGATGATGATGATGATGATGCTGATGCTGATGATGATGATGATGATGGTGATTTTGTGTATGATGATGATGGGATGAAAACGGTGGTAGTGTCCCGTTGATGATGATGATGGTGTCCCGATGATAATGATGATGATGTTGAGGAGGTTGATGGTGACGATGATGGTGTCCCGATGATGATGATGGTTATGACGATGATGGCCATGGTGGAGATGATGATGGTGTTCCGATGACGATGATGAGGTTGATGATTCTGATGATGGTGATGATGCTGATGGTGTCCCGATGATGGTGATGATGATGACCTGAGGGAAGGCAGAGGCGGCGGGCCTCCTCAGCAGGGTCAGAAGGCCCCTGGCCTCAAGCAAGGAAAGCTCTCTGCGCCTGCTTCGACGCCACATGGGGGGGGGGGCTCATACAGCAGGGCAGAGAGTTTCGGAGGGGCCCCGCCGCCTGCCGAGAAGGCCTGCTCCCTCTCTCACTGCCCCTTCTGACGAGAGGCTCTTGGCTCTTCTGCAATGTCTCCGAAGCTCCACAGGGGGGGGGGGGGGGGCCACCTCATACAGAAGGGCGGAGGACTTCGGAAAAGGCCCCGCCGCCTGAGGAGGAGGAGGAGGAGGGAGGAGGAGGAGGAGGAGGAGGATTCGCAAGCATCTGCGCGGGCTGTCGGCCACGCAGGCGCCCGCGCGCGGCCACGCGCGCGGGCGCGGCCTCCTCGGAGGACCGCCACGAGCTCGCCGAAGTGCACCGCGACGAACTCCGCACTCGTCAGGCAGACGAGTCCCCAGGGCAATCAAAGGGTGCCCCCAACTTCTGAGCCAGTCCTTGAGCTCGCCGAGGCCCACCACGACGAACATCAGAGGACCACCTGGTCCCGCACCAGGTCGGCGGCGATGTCGGGCGGCACGCCCGCGGCGTAGGCCTTCTCGAGGAAAGCCCAAACGCCCGCCGCGCCAGGAGGACGAGGGTCCTCCGCCGCCACGCTGTCCAAGCCCACAGTCGCCCCCACGACGTCGGCCCGAAGCAACTTCTTGTGCTGCTTCTTCTTCGCCTTCTTCTTGCACCCAAACGCCTCGACGTCCACGGGCATCTCGTCCAGCACATCCTGCACGAGGCGCTCCGCGGCCGTGCGGGCGTCCAGCGCTGCCTCACGCCTGGCGGCAGCGGCACTGTTGGCCAGGAAGACCATGTCCCAATCGCGCGGGTCCACGAACTGTTCGCACTGCTCGCCCGCCTGCTGCTGCTCCAGCGCGTCGGCCCAGCAGGCAACTCTCGGGCCCAGCACGGCCTGACCAAGAGCGCCCTCCTGGGCAGGAGCATCCTTGAGCTCCAGCTCGCTCTCCACGGCCACCTCCGAGAGCGTCGGGAAGGGCGGGACCTTGCCGAACGCGTCGCCGTCGCACCCCACGATGCTGTCCTTGCCGACCTCGTCGCCGTCGTACGCGTCGCCGTCGCACCCCACGATGCTCTCCATGTTGCCGACCGCGCCGCCGTCGCACCCCACGATGCGCTCCAGCGCGTCCAGCGCCTCGCAGCCGCTGCCGCTGCCGCCGTCGCACCCCACGATGCTGTCTGCTCTGGTGGTGCCGGGTGCCGGGTGCCGGGTGCGCTGGTCCGCCCGTGCTGCACGAGCAGCGCCTCGCAGCCGCTGCCGTCGTCCTTGCCGAACGCGCCGCCGTCGCACCCCACGATGCTGTCGTCTAGCGCCTCGCAGCCGCTGCCATCCTTGCCGAACGCGTCGCCGTCGCACCCCACGATGCTGTCCTTGTCGAACGCGTCGCCGTCGCACCCCATGATGCTCTCCTTCGCGAGCAGCGCCTCGCAGCCGCTGCCGTCCTTGCTGAACACGTCGCGGTCGCACCCCACGATGCTCTCCTTGCCGAAAGCGTCGCCGTCGCACCCCACGATGCTCTCCAGCTCGCCCAGCGCCTCGCAGTCGCTGCCGTCAGCGTCAACGCCGTCGTCCACCTCGTAGCCGCCGCCAACGACCAGCTCGTCGTGCGGCTTGCCGCGAGCGCCTCCCCGCAGCCGCCACGCGAGGGCACGGAGCTCCATGCACTCGTCAGCCAGCGCACCGCACAGCTCCTGCGCCTGCGCGAGCTGCGCCGCGAGGTCGGAGTAGTCCACGCACTCCGTGTCGACCTCGAACTCCGTGGCGATCTCGCACTCGCTGAGGTCTACGCACTCCACCTGCTCCAGCCACTATGGAAGAATAGTGAAGGGAACCGGGAACCGGGAACCGGGACCCCGGGAACCGGGAACCGGGAACCGGGAACCGGGAACCGGGAACCGGGAACCGGGAACCGGGAACCGGGAACCAGGAACTGGGAACCGGGAACCGGCACTATGGAAAAATAGGGGGGAACCGGAAACCCGGGAACCGGGAACCGGGAACCGGGAACCGGGAACCGGGAACCGGGAACCGGGAACCGGGAACCGGGAACCGGGAACCGGGTACCGGGAACCTGGAACCGCGGGAACCGCGGGAACCGGGAACCGGGAACCGGGAACCGGGAACCGGGAACCGGGAACCCGGGCACCGGGAACCGGGAACCGGGAACCTGGAACCGGGAACCGGGAACCGGGAACCGGGAACCGGGAACCAGGAACCCGGGAACCGGGAACCCGGGAACCCGGGCACCGGGAATTGGGAACCCGGGAACCGGGAACCCGGGAACCCGGGAATCCGGAAACCCAGGAATCCGGGAATCCGGGAACCGGGAACCGGGATCCGGGAACCGCTTCTGCTCCGCTCATTTCTGTTTTGTTGTGCCCCGCTGCTCCGTTCGGTTCCGTTCTGTCCCATTGTTCCGTTCTGCTCTTGTCTTGGCTGCAGGTTTGTCTGTTCTGTTCCGGGCCGCGCCATCGTCCGTTTTGATCTGGCGTGCCCCGCTGCTTCGTTCTGTTCTGCTCGTTCTGTTCTGCTCGTTCTGCCCCGATGCTTTGTTCTGGTCTGTCCCGCTGCTCCGTTGTGTTCTGTTATGTTCCTCTGCTCCGTCCTATTCTGGTCTTGGCCGCAGGCTCGTCTATTCTGATTTGGGCCGCAAGCTCGTCTGTTCTGGTTTGTTATGTCCTGGTACTCCGTTCTGTTATGTGTGTGTTTTTACCTAACAGCTCTTGCTGATAGGTTTCTAGTGGTCTCAAAAGAGAGCATCATGACTCCTCAGGGGGGTCTGGGCGGGTGCCGGGGAGGAGAACCGGGAATCGTTTTTCGCCAACAATCACACACTTCGTGCTCTTCGACCTCCCAGAACTCCATTCCCGGGCCACATTCTGGAGAACCGGGAACAGAGCCGGGCTCGCTTTTCGCCAACAGTCACACACTTCGTGCTCTTCGACCTCCCAGAACTCCATTCCCGGGCCACATTCTGGAGAACCGGGAACAGAGCCGGGCTCGTTTTTCGCCAACAGTCACACACTTCGTGCTCTTCGACCTCCCAGAACTCCATTCCCGGGCCACATTCTGGAGAACCGGGAACAGAGCCGGGCTCGTTTTTCGTCAACAGTCACACACTTCGTGCTCTTCGACCTCCCAGAACTCCATTCCCGGGCTACATTTTGAGTGCCCGGAGCCAACTCCCAGAACTCCATTCCCGGGCCACATTTTGGATGCCCGGAGCCAAGAACTCCATTCCCGGGCCACATTTTGGATGGCCACCACTTCGTGCTCTTCAAGTTCCCAGAACTCCATTCCTGGGCATGATTTTGAATGCCCGGAGCCAACTGTAGGCCACTTCGTGTTCTTCTAGTTCCCAGAACTCCATTCCTGGGCCACATTTTGAATGCTGAGGCAGGCTGATGCTGCGGCCGAGGCAGGCTGAGGCTGAGGCAGGCTGAGGCTGAGGCCGAGGCTGAAGGCAGACTGAGGCTGAGGCTGAAGCAGACTGAGGCTGAGGCTGAGGCAGGCTGAGGCTGAGGCTGAAGCAGGCTGATGCTGAGGCAGGCTGAGGCTGAGGCTGAGGCTGATGCAGGCTGAGGCTGAGGCAGGCTGAGGCTGAGGCCGAGACTGAAGGCAGACTGAGGCTGAGGCTGAAGCAGGCTGAGGCTGAGGCTGAGGCAGGCTGAGGCTGAGGCAGGCTGAGGCTGAGGCTGAGGCAAACTGAGGCTGAGGCTGTGACTGCAACTGCCGTTGCCGCTGCGACTGTCATCGCGAATGCGACTACGACTGCGACAGCAGCAGAATTCCACAACTGGATTTAGGGGGGTCTGGGCGGGTGCCGGGGAGGAGAACCGGGAATCGTTTTTCACCAACAGTCACACACTTCGTGCTCTTCGACCTCCCAGAACTCCATTCCCGGGCCACACTCTGGAGAACCAGGAACAGAGCCGGGCTCGCTTTTCGCCAACAGTCACACACTTCGTGCTCTTCGATTTCCCAGAACTCCATTCCCGGGCCACATTCTGGAGAACCGGGAACAGAGCCGGCCTCGTTTTTCGTCAACAGTCAAACACTTCGTGCTCTTGGACCTCCCAGAATTTCATTCCCGGGCTACATTTTGAGTGCCCGGAGCCAACTGTAGGCCACTTCGTGCTCTT